GTGTATATATATATATATATATATACATATAGACATATAATTAAAAATTGTAATACACAAATACATTAAATTATGAAAAATTTAGGTCAGATGATTGTAATTTAAAAATGTTCTTTTTTCATTTATTTTTTTATTTGTCATTTTTTATTATTTTTACATTTTATATTTCAAGGAAATATGCTGTTAAAAAGACAAGTTTTAAAAAGATATTAAATAAATTCATGATGTTTTCAAAGTTCATATGTACAGTGGTAAATAATTGACTAAATTATATTTGTGTTAATTGTATTGTTGAACCTGTTGCAGCTGTCTGATCTCGTCGTTGAGGTCGTCCACCCTGCGTTGGTCCTCTAAACTGAGCTGAGAGAGCAGGTCCGTTCCCAGCTCTGCCTTCAGAGACTCCCGCGTGCTCTCCATGGCATGCAGACTGGCCTCCAGACTCTGAAGACTGCGTTGCTGGGGGAAACATCAGAGAGAAACCAAATTAAAGATTTGGTACACAAATAATATAACAGTAAATAATAGCAGTTCTGGTATTAATGGCTGAAATACAGTAGCATAGGTTACCTTGGGCATAAATGTTTTCTCTGACTGCTGTCTCTTCTCCTTTAGCATCTTCATCTCAGACAGTATACTGTCTCTGGATGCCTTGAACTTCCTCTGCTGGGTCTCAATTTGCTGCATCTGATTCATCAGCTGGTCAATTTCGTTATTGATGCGTGAAGAACTGAGTTAAGGAGCAGACTCGTGATCCATTTTAATTCTGGAAAGCTCCCTCACTTGAGCTTATCGGCTTCTTGCTTATATGTTTTAGTATTATTATAGCATTAATTCATATTAATTCGCTTTTATGTTTATATTTTCAGTTTTCATTTACATTTTAATGTTGTGATTGTCTATTTATTTTTCCATTTAGCTTTATTTCAGAGAGCTTCCAAGACAACATTTCTAATTTTTATCTAATATTTAGATTTTATTTGAACAAAAATCATTAAGTTTTAGTTAAGAATAACAAGACTGCTTCTTGAAATACTTGTATAATTAATATCCGATTGTACTAAATCCACTTATCTCAGCGGTGCAAATACTTGACAAGCTGTTGAATACTTTTATTTGGCCTGTTTTTGCTGAAGCTGAGAAAATTATTACGTCATCATATTAATTCTGAATTAGTCAGAGTATGAGCCACACAAAGCCAATTGTGATAAAAAAATTTGATGAGCCAGTTGATAAAACAAAATTTAACCCAGCTTTAAATAAACACCACTCGAGGCCTTGACAGTCACGTCAATGTCTCATCCCTCTATTCACTAATATAACACCACGTGTGCAGCTCACACATGACCGCATACATATTAATAACTAGCCGACTCATTCCGCGATCCTCTGTGACCTTGTGTCATCAAAGCCGAATATACCATAATGCTCTACTGGCCAAGACACACACCATTAGGACTCAATCAATTTGATTTCACGCCACTGCGTCATAAGCAAGCCTGTGTGTGAGGCATAAATGAGGAGGATATGTTCAATATTTCTACGCAGGTTCTCGTTGAGTTTGGCCTCCAGTTCTCCAAGCTCCTCCTCGGCCTTCCTCATGTCCTTCTGTAGCTCCAGACGGGACTTGCGTGTGTCGTAGTAGCCACCGGTCAGAGCGCCACGATGACTCACCTGATCACCTGATACACATACCAAAACAAGGGTTTAGAATTAATTTGAAAATCAGGATTGAATAAAAATGAGGTCTTATTGTAAAGTGATACCTATTGGTCTTTATAGTTCTTTTGCACTTTAATCTGTGTAAAACTTTTAACTTTGTACATTTTTCTGTATTGCTTTATTGCATTTAAATGTTCAGTTATTTTTGTTATAAGAAAAAAGTTATTAAACCTGTTATACTGTATTATGACAGCACTTTTTTTTTTACTTAATTTCAATATCGTGATAATACCGTATACCGTAATAAAAGCATTAGCAATTAATCGCAACATGAAAATTTGATACCGGCATATCCCAATACACAAATGAGGCCGCATCCGTTTACCCTCCAGTGTGATGCAGTCCATGGTGAAAGCTCGAGCCAGCTGAGTGGACACTTCCATGCTGCGGCAGATCAGAGTCTTCCCAAACACGTGTTTGAAAGCCTTGTCGAAGTTTGGACTGTAACGGAGCTTGCTGATCATGGGGATTGCATCCTACAGCAAGTGTAGAGAAGTAATTAGAGACTATTTGCATAGATTTGCGCTTAACAGAATAACAAAACATTTAAACGCAGAAAAAAAGAAAATTAATGAGCTCGCAGAAGGTCGTAAAAAAGGGGCAGAATTTGAAAAGTATGGTATTTCGATGGAAGGTTGAGTTTTTGATTGAAAATCATGAGCTCAAAAAATGTTTCAAAAAATAAAACAGATAATCAGATAAATTGTTCGCAAGATAAAAAAAAACATGCATTTAGAAAATTCAGCAGGGTGCATTTTAAATGTCATGTTCAGTTGGTGTAAGCTTACATTAGTCTCAGGGTAAGCGGTGTCCCTGACGTCCAGTTTGCTGAGGGGCAGGAAGGTGACCTCTCCAGGCAAGTTCATCTTATTAAACTCCATTAGAATCTTAGTGCTCACTTCATCCGTTTCCACGATGTGGTAAAACAGCCTGAACAAACAAACAATGTACTCTGCCACACAGGTCGACACCAAGCAGAAAACACTAATAATAAACAATGTGTCTGACCTGGTGCCAGCGGTCACCTCCACACAGGTGTAGAAAGCAGGTTCACACTCAAAGTTATTCATGATGATGCCGTGGTAACCGTTGATGACATGTTGGTTGATGCCCTTCCGGCGGAAATGTTCCAATACTTTATTAATGCTGTCGATGCCATTCAAAATAGCCTGGGGAAAAAGCAAACAACACGCAAAACATTGCGTTTCAAAGTTCATATTTTCATTTCAAGTCCAGATGACGATCTGAAGTTCTGATAATCTCACTTCATATATACTGATGTATATTTTTGTAACGTGGGAGAGTTGCTAAAATTAGTGACTGACTCAGTCCATGAGAAACGATCCAGCGGCCAAGTTGAGCTTAGGAGATATGGTTCAGTTCAGCCGGTACTCAGTGAACCGGAGTGGGCGGCATTTTTACATGATTTTAAATACATGCACACTGGTTACATATTATGGTTTGCATGATTAATCGCAATAAAACCTAAATAATGATATGGCTTAACGTGATTAACGAATCTCTGTGATTTAACTAAATAAAAATATTCACTGCATATTCAGAGTAAAGTGTGGCATTGTGTTCATTTACACACAAACAGTTCATGATACAGCGTTTTCAGTTTCTCAGATCAGCTCAGTTTTGGTTGCTAACGGCTTTTGTCAACAAAATAGACACTTTAAGGGCTCCTTGTAGTTTTTCCATGTTTAACATTTGAAATAGAAGAAATTAAGACAGCCATAAATATTAGTGATGTAAATATTTTGTAACGTAAAAAAAAAAAAAGAAAATTGGCAAAACTGTGCACACCAAAGGTCTGGGTCAAGAAAAGTCTTTCAATCTAAAAAAATATAATAACACTAATAATAATAATGCATAATTTCCCCAAAATTATGCAGCCCTATTCTAAGGTCATATTTTGAGAGTTAACAGAAAATATATTTCAAGGGTGTAGAACGATATGACATTTATGCAATATAATTATAAACAAATATATAAACAATAAAAATAATGTAAAGGAATAATTCACCCAAAATTTCACTCATCCTCAGGTCATCCAAGATTAGTTTGTTTCTTCATTTGACCAGATTTGGAGAAATTTATCATTACATCACATGCTCACCAATAGATCCTCTGCAGTGAATGGGTGCCGTCAGAAACAACTGATAAAACATCACAATAATCCACACCACTCCAGTCCATCAATTAACATCTTGAGAAGTGGAAAGATGTGTGACTGTAAGAAACAAATCCATCATTAAGGTGTTTTAACTTTAAACTGTTATTTCTGATAAAAATTTATTCATAAAAATTAAGTCATAAACCATAACAACACTTCTCCAGTGAAAACGTCCTGATCCCCTGTTGTCCTCTAAAAATACAACAGTAAAATCAAAATACACCCACATACTTTTTAGAACCTTTTTGGACTGTTTGTCCTTGTAACAGTGTTTGATTTGTGCATATTTCTCTCCTGATTCAGATAAGATGACTTTTTCACTGGGGAAAGCAAATATTATGGATTATAGACTAATGTTTTTAATCAAAAGCAACGGTTTGAAGCTAAAAGAGTCTTGATGTATTTGTTTCTTAAAAACAAATTTTCACTTCACAAGACAACTGATGGACTGGAGTGGTGTTGATTAGTTGTGCATTATTGTGATGTTTTTATCAGTTGTTTGGTCTCTCATTCTGACAGCACCCATTCACTGCAGAGGTGCCATTGCTGAGCAAGTGATGTAATGCTACATTTCTCCAATTATGTACGAGAAGCTGCAAAAGACACAGGAATGTACAAAACATGGTGGCATTAATTTAAGTAAATATAATGGGCGATATATTGCGTCACCAAAAATTATTGAGGTTATGTACATATATTGCGCGATAAGTCGATATATTGATTATTGCGACAGGCCTATAATGCACAGATGATTCGTGCACAATAAAATCAGCAATATTCATCAATGTGTTAAAACACACGGGTCTGTTTTGGTTTCTAACCTTTCCGGTGGCTGCTCGCAGTAGCTGTTGTTTCTTCTCCAGCTCTTCTCGTTTGGCTGCCAGCGCCTGATCACAATAATCCACACCACTCCAGTCCATCAATTAACATCTTGAGAAGTGGAAAGATGTGTGACTGTAAGAAACAAATCCATCATTAAGGTGTTTTAACTTTAAACTGTTATTTCTGATAAAAATTTATTCATAAAAATTAAGTCATAATCCATAACAACACTTCTCCAGTGAAAACGTCCTGATCCCCTGTTGTCCTCTAAAAATACAACAGTAAAATCAAAATACACCCACATACTTTTTAGAACCTTTTTGGACTGTTTGTCCTTGTAACAGTGTTTGATTTGTGCATATTTCTCTCCTGATTCAGATAAGATGACTTTTTCACTGGGGAAAGCAAATATTATGGATTATAGACTAATGTTTTTAATCAAAAGCAACGGTTTGAAGCTAAAAGAGTCTTGATGTATTTGTTTCTTAAAAACAAATTTTCACTTCACAAGACAACTGATGGACTGGAGTGGTGTTGATTAGTTGTGCATTATTGTGATGTTTTTATCAGTTGTTTGGTCTCTCATTCTGACAGCACCCATTCACTGCAGAGGTGCCATTGCTGAGCAAGTGATGTAATGCTACATTTCTCCAAATCTGATGAAAAAACAAACTCATCTTCATCTTGGATGACCTAAGGGTGAGTACTTTTTTTTTATTTTTTTTATAAATTTCTCATTTTTGGGTGAACTAATGAATAAATGCTGGCCATAAAACTGGCGAAAGTTACATATCTACTGTTCAATACCAAGATGAGTTTTTAACTACTCGAACGTAGCCCAAATCTTACACTGTACTGTTCCAGGTTTTTCTCTTTATTGGCTTCAGTGTCCTCCAGATCTTTGTGGATGGCAGCGATCTGCCGTTTCTTGTCATTGATGGCTTGATCCAGAGACTTCAGCTCTTTCTTGATCCATTTGTCCCTCTCTTCTTTAGAGGTGAACTGACTGCCTCGGCCCTGTTTGGCATACAGGTCTGTTCGCTCTTGTGTGGCTTGAGCCAGTCTGAAAAATGCAAACAAACACAACAAAACATACTTCAAGTATTACTTAAATACATGAAAAACATTTATAATGCACTTATCCTCCTACATACATTTTGTGAATAATTGAAATAATTTGTGGGAACATAAAAGGGATGGGACTTGATTTTGTACACAAGGATATGACTGGATCATGAAAAATGGGCAATCCAAATGATTGCCCGTGCAATGAAAAAGAACAGCAAACCGTTTAAAAAATAAATAAATACTGCCATTTTTATAAACTAAAAATCTATAAAATTTTAACGTAGTATCAGAAGCAATAAACAAATTACAGTTTTGAAGGACTGTGACGTGAAGAACATTAACAAATTACAGGCATTTAAAAGAAGGAAAAAAAGCAAGCACTTCAATATGTCCCACCCCAACTTCCTGTTTGAATAGGAAGTACATCAACACAAAAAAAGAAGACTGGGTCCCACACTTCATGGGCCCTTTCAACACTTCAAAGAGTTTACCGGGAAATTCCTCGCTCCTCTCTTTCTTTCACAGCGTTAAATTTGGGTTCTGTTTCCTGCAGCTCCTTCTGTTTTTCTTCAATCTTCTCCAGAAGCTTCTGGCGCTCTTTGAGCAGCCGTTTCTGTTAGACAGGAAGCCAGAGGGGACAGAGTATTGAATCACAAATAGCGACATCAATTCTTGAGTCTCGCCTCTTTTTATAGAAAGCCTAAAAAAAAATTTTGCGCAGATGTGTGAAGAGGTGTTCATATTTAAATGGAGAAGAATAAACTGTGCACAAATAAGTGTGTAGATTCAGCGTCATGAGCAGAACAAAGGGGATCTCCATCCGAGCAAACCTACATTCACATTCACCAATCAAAGGGCAAATGACGCACTTTTGCCTCTCCTCCATAGGAAAACACACACACACTTGGCCAGGTGGGGCTAATCCCTCTCTAAGTCAAGCCGGGATGCAGGAGGGCCGACTGAAAGTGTGTATTTCACACATACAGGGATACACAAGCATTATGTGTGTGTTTGCGTCCGGCTACAATCCCGGGCTGGAGTGAGCATGTGTAGATAATGACGCAGACGGAGACACTGCGGACCCTCTGTTCACTAGTGCCTGCCAGCATTTCATGCAGCTCTCTGGCTGTTAGTGTGCATTTATGAGTGTGTGTATCAAACTTGTGTGTTTGTGTATGTGAATTCAGTCACTACTTTATTTTTGCAGTGACCAATACAGCAACCGCAATAAGGAAAAGCAAGCAGGTGCATATTTGTTTGAGGAAATGGGGTTTATACTTATATGCAACCTTGTACGACATAAAGAGTAAAGTAAAAAAATTGCTCATTATTGAATTTAGGTCTTTTAAATAAGGCTGGGAGGGATTTTTTTGCCTTTTTTGGTGAAAGAAATTTACTTTTATTCAACAAGGGTGCACTTTAAAGACATTTATAATGTTTCAAACATTTCTATTTGAAATAAATGCTGTTCTTTTAAACTTTCAAAGAATCCTGAAAAAAATACATCAGTTTCCACAAAATTATGAAGCAGCACAACTGTTTTCAACATTATCATAAGAAATGTTTCTTGAGCAGCAAATCAGAGTATTAGAATGATTTCTGAAGGATCACAAGACACTGAAAACTGGAGTGATGATGCTGAAAAATGCAGCTTTACATCACAGGAATGAATTACATTTCAACATATATTCAAATACAAAATAGTTATTTTAAATTTGTTAAAATAGTCCACAATATTATTGTTCTTACTGTATTTTTGATCAAATAAATGCAGCCATTAATAATAAAAAAATCTTATTAATGGTAGTGTAAAATCACCTTAAACTTTAATAAAAATCAAAGCAATTTTTTTTTCCAAAAAGTAACTCTCTTTTCCAAGATGGCACTTCTTTGAAATGTGTGTGTTCAGTGCATATGTGTGCCTGTAGAGTGTGCATGTGTTAGCGTGTGAGCGTCTGCTAGTCATACCCTCTGCTCGCTGTTTCCTGCCAGCTCGTCCTGCAGATCTTTGGCTTTGAGCTCCAGTTTGGTCCTCTGTTTGATCTGCTCCTGTCGCTCGGCGCTCAGCTGTTCTTTCTCCTCCTTCATGGCGGAGATTCGAGCCTTCAGCTCCCTCACCACACGCTCAGTCTCCTACAGAGACACAGAGACACTGAGGTTAGATAAGATTACACAATATAAGCGGTTATATAACGTGCGAAGGCAGATTCTTGGTAAATCTTCACATTTTAATACTTTATTTTCAGTTTTTAGGGTCAATTTCTTAAACACACTGGATGAAAGGTGAATTTGAAATCAAAACGAATCACTTTTACAATAAATGTTCCTGGTCTTCATTCATCAATGCATGTTAATCTAAAGGAAAAAATGTTTCCCTCCTAATACTTCTATAAAATAAACGGTTTCTGTTATTTGCGACGTGGGACTGCACAAGCTGGTTAAAGTGTAATCAACTGGACTGTTTACATTTTCAGAAGAAAATGTGAAATTCCCATGCAATATGTTTCATTATGATGTTAGGCTGTCTGACGGTTGCTTGGACGTTGTTATATAGTTGCTAAAATGTTCTGAGTGTTTTAGCACTTTTCCAGAACAAGAAACATGCAAAAGCATCAGTTACTAACACACTGATGATCAATGTTCCCTCAAATTTTTTTTCTTGCTGAGCAACTTTTTTCTATTGGGCAGACATTTTGGCCACCTGAGCAAAAACATTCTTTATACCAGACCTGTACAGCGCACACACAAAAAAAGTGTGTAACTTTTAACTTTAATGTGCTATATTTGATTTGACCCTTGATGTAACTGAATGATGCATATTTTAGGTTACCCGATATTTTTTTTACAGTGCCGTGTTACCAAGAAATTCTATTAAAAATAGTTAGTTTTTTTTGACACAGAACTGTTCAATTCTTTATAATAATATAATATAATATATGAAAAAATGAAGCAGATATTGCTCATGAATTCCCTTTTTGAGGTCAATTATTTAATAGGTTTATAATATAATATAAAAACAAACTGAAGCATATAAACTGATAGAATAGAAAACAAACTGAAGCATTTAAACTGAGATCTGTGAAAAACATGTGAATCCCTTTGCAATAGTTTGCACACTACTACACCTGTGTGACTGTTAATGTCTCAGAGTTTTGCTACCGTTCTGTGCCCATCATCTGCTATTTCCAGTGCTTAATCAAGACACTCTTCTTTAAAACGTGATGACATTTTGTCATCACGTTTTACGCTTGCGTTGGCTCTCGTGTTGAGTTATTTTGTCCGCAACCATTAAAGTATTCGATTTCTACAGCGACTCATTTGGCGCACATCATTCTTTCTATGAAACCTGTAAACCGCATTCAAGAGTATCTAACTCTATAGCGATTTGCCCGAGCATTGCAATTATTTTGCATTTACCAGAATTCAATCAAATGACTTTCCCACACATGTCCTATGTGCGGCCTATTATTTCTTCTAATTATTATTTCTTCGCGCGCAGCTTAGAGGGAACATTGCTGATGAGCTCAGTTTACCTCCACTTTGTCTCGAGCATCTTGTTGAGCATCTCGCAGTTGTCTAGATTTGTCTCCACAGGTCTCTCTCTTAGTGGACAACTAGAGGAGAGAATCACAACATCTTTAAAGTATAATGCTACTATAAACACATCAGCAACAAAGCATTATACAGTGCTGAATGCTGATGTATTTTCTGTAATTGCTGAATTAGATCGAGAAGGTGATGACAAGTAAGAATTGATGTGTGTACCTCGTCCAATTTGGCCCGGGTTTCGTTGAGCTCCTGGTTGTAGATGGTGTACTCCAGAGCTCTTCTCATTTTGTCCCACTTCTGGTACTGAGCCAGTTCCTCTTTCTCATCCTCCAGAGTGTGCAGACGTTCCTCGATGTACTTTAGCAGCTCATTAATCTTCTCTCGCTTGCCCTCTGTACACATACACGCAAGAACAAACTGCACGTCATAAAAAAACAACTTTGAACATAAAAAAACAACAGTACACCATCTACTGCAGTGTTTCCTGCACTGCTTTAGCAATTAATTAAAACAATTTAGTTTCACAAAATAATAAAAGGACAAAAAGTTTTCATATTATATATATATTTCGGGATCAAAAAGGATAAATGGCATTTTCCCCTTTACGACACATTTGATTAGAAACATATCAGTGAAGGATCTACCTGTTTCCTTCATGAGCGAGATACTCTCCTCTTTGCGCTCATCATAGACTCTGGTGCCGGCCACCTCTCTGAGCAGTTTGAGACGCTGAGAGTCAGGCGCTGTTGCCATCTGATTGATCTATTTTCATGTTTCAGACAGTAAAATGAGTGTAACAAAGTGAGCCAACTCATTTAGAATGTGTAGCAACAGCATTAGCACCGCGTTAATCCCAAGAGCCACATTCTTGTTTGTAAATGAGCATTAATGTCATTGAAAGAGATTATGTTGTTTGCTACGGTCCCAGAGGGCTGAAAAACAATGTTTTATCTGCAATTTAAAGAGATGGTTCACTAGGGCTGGGCCAATAAACGATATCATATCGAATCGCGATGATATTTATGCTGATAACGATGATAACCTCTGGACATTTTTACTCGATATGGATTAATCTAACAGCCAATTACACAGCAGAAATAAACGCGACAACAGCCAGTCACATGTACAGTCGCAGTCAAAAATACAAGCCCATTTCCTCAAAACGAGGAGGAAAAAATGTGTGGATGCAGTGACAAAAATAAAAACTAAATCAAAACTAACCTCGAGTTATCGTCCAAAGATGACGAAATTGTCGATAAAAATGTAACACAAATTCAGTTACATAGGCTACTCATTTGAAGCGTGCCACAAGGACCATTTATCTGCTCAAAGCCCAAACAGCAGCGCAGCGCGAGCTTACTACAGCAGATGCGTTTACTTGATCACCTCGGTCACGCAACACTAAACAGCAATGTGAGATCCAGTGAAAAGCGCTTGAATTCAGCGAAGAACACGACTGTAATTTAAACTAGTTTAAAGCCAGATGAAACAGCGCTGAGAAACACTGTGTGCAACAAAACAGTCAGAAGGCTTTCTACAAATCGCCATAATTTACCATGGATTTACTGTAGTAACACTAACTGTGGCAAAAATGTGGGATATTCATACAAAATGTTATTATATTATTAATGTAGACGTATTAAATGTATTAAAGGAGTAGCCTAATGGAATACAATTACAGTATTTAAGCTATAGAATTTGTGCATTTATACTAAATGCATGGTTTAACAGTGGTTATCATGACCTAAATTTATGCTACTATGAAAGACCAATGGTCAACTGTAATAAAACTCAAACAGTCAGAATATTTAATTGTATCATTAAAAAAAGAGGTTGTTACAGTTTTTACGTATGTTACTATTTTTCTTAATGAAGATAAATTTACATCTGCATTCTAACTCAAGCTACTAGCCTACTACTGTCAACTGTCATATTATTGTCACATTATTAACATTGCAGCCTGCACTTCAAACTGTGCCAAAGATATGTGCCATCAAAGTCAAGCAACACAAACCTGTTAAATATATTTGAAGCAATATCACCTGTTAGCACAGGAAGAAACTTAAGAAATATTTATTTTATTAAGGAAAAATGACTGGAAAAATGTAAAGAATTCAAAAATGTGAAGTGTCTGTCATGTTCTTGACAATAAAGAGTAGCTTAAAACCACAATTAACGGTCTGGTTTCTACAAATTTTACTTAGGAGCAAAAATATGTCTTTAAATTTGTGATAATTATCGATATGAAAATTTTTATTGTGATCATTTTTTTGGCCATATCACCCAGCCCTATGGTTCACACAAAAAAAAGAAACTTTTGCCATAATTTACCCATCCTCCTCTTGTTCCAGACCTGTATGAGTTTCTTTCTTCTGTTGAACACAAAAGAAGACAGTTGATGGTAGCCATTGACTTCCATAGTATTTTTTCTCCATACTATGGAAGTCAATGGCTACTGTCAACTGTTTGGTTACCAGCATTCTTCAAAACATCTTCTTTTGTGTTCAACAGAAGAAAGAAAATCATACAGGTCTGGAATAACTTGAGGGTGAGTAAGCGACAATTTTCAGTTTTATATAAACTATGCCTTTAAGAGGTTTTAAATAAAATCATGAATACTTGTAACAACCCATTAATAAATCACTTGTCCCATGTCAAAGGACACTAGCGTACCTTTCCCTGCTTGACGATGTAGTAAGGGTTGCTGCGGGAGAAACCAGCACTCTCCAACAGGTTCATCACGTCGTTCTTACTAAAAACACAGAACACAATCCATTCAGCTACAGCTTTCAGCAGTCAAAGCTTTTATGAGAACTAAACTTACGTGACCATCTTTTTGTCTAAGAAGTACTGATCTTTCTTTGCTCCGATGACACGGCGCAGAGACACCTCCTCTTTATCAATCTGAGAGCAATGAGGTCAAGTTACTCGCCTGTTTTTACTTTAGTGCACTTCGCAACATTTAAGATAAATTTCTTACCGGCAGCCTGTTGTCAGAGTTGTCGAATATAATTTCCACAAAGGCTGAAATGACTCGAGGACCAGTGCCTTCCTGAATATTACATAAAAATACATGGTTTAGCAGGGTTAGTGAAAATTATTTTTATATACAAAATTAAATAAATAAATAGAAAATAAGAAATAATCAAGGAAAATTAAATAAATAATCACACTTAATCAAATTAAATTTCATGAGTTTTTTTTTTTATTATTGAAATAGAATATAAACAAAATAATAATATAGAATAAAATAACTCACGTGAAGCAGAGCCAGACGCTGCTCTGGGCGAAGATGACTGAACTCATCACTGAGTACAAACTGTATGGCTGATGGGGGGGGGGAAATAAAATTGCCCATCACAAACTCAGTCTGATCTCTGTAGCTGCGAAACCCCTGAATAATAACCTGAAAGACACATTACACAAAATATCATATTAAATACTGTATAACGTCAAAATAGTGTTATAGTAATACAACCTGACAGAATGCTTTTCATCCAAATATGCTCTAAAATATGAGTATAATCCAAACAAAAACTTACAGAGATATGTATGTGTATGTACAACAGCAGTTTATGAATTATTTACATAATACATAACGCCGTATTAGTATTTACATGAGAAATAGCTATAATTTCATTTTCTACTAGTAGTTTGCTCACATCTGCACAGCAGCAGCAAATAAAAGTTAACTTCAATCGGAAATGTTCAATATAAATGTTGCATTATACATTTTATCGCAGTGTTTTGGGGGGTTTGACAGCTAATGCTAAAGCTAATGCTAACTTCATTGAAGGCCGTGTACTTCTCAAAAACTACAACCCAACATGCTCAAGATTAAGAAAAATGCGTTTTTGTGCCCATTTGACATATGTGAATAAGTAGTTTAATCGCATAATTCAACATATAAAGCATAATTTCACACGCAGCGTGTGAGCCGCATCTCAGTCTCTTACCTGTTTAATGTACATGGCGGCTTATGCACAAAACTCTCCTCAGAAACCAGCCGAATCAAACACCCTCCTCCTCAGAGAGAAGAAGGGTTAAGTGAAGATAAATATATCTGCACACCGGATAAATTTGTCCGATATTTACTCTTCTGTACTATCAAATTTTACCTTGCATCCCCTCACGAAACAGACATAACAGTCAAAATGGCGAAAGAGGCGGGACGAACGGACGAGTCTACTTGACTTTTTAGGGAGACTTATAAGTATTGTTTATTATAAATGTTCAAAGGAATAGTAAATGGAGCCCAGGGACTTCATATATCCAGATAAATCCAGTATATTTATTAATAATTGATTGTTTAATGAGCTTCTTGCTGTTTCATTAGTTTCATATCCATTTCGTCTGCAACGCTACCCCTATTTCTGTTAGTTTAGTCCTTTGAGGTAGAGATTGGGCGCCAAGTCAGCTGCTGCTCTGTATGAAGCACGCTGTGCTTTTTGATTGTTGCCTTATATCAGTGGTTCTCAACCCGTTGTGCTTTTATAAAATAAAGAAATCAAACATGCTGCGCTTTCTGCTGTCTCGTCTTGAACAGGCACGCCTCACAAAAATGAACTGAAACTCAGTGAATACATGCCTCACAGACATGATAAATATATCTATAGAAAGCTTTAAATTACTACTT